TGCATTTTTAAGCAGATTTTGTTCTATAAACTAATTCGATAAATCTAGCCATTTTTAATATACAGAGTGGGTCAATCAAAAGAGTTTCATTTTGTTTAAATGCTAAAAGAGGTCGATTTTTATTCCAAATTAAACAGATTTTCACAATGCAGACATCTGTCATGTGTCAACCCCCTCCCTTCCACTTCTCCAACCCCTTAATTTTAAATAAAAAATGTACCATGTACGGCACACCATTGAAAAGATAATTTTGTGGGAAGTCATAAATATGATTGTTTATTGCGATACTTTTAATTTTGGCGCCCTCTATCGGGATAAAAAAACCGTAACGTATTATAAAGTGTGACACGTCATATAAAAGCTAATTTAATTACTAATTCAATGCATCACATATCATTAATATAAATATTTCCATATTGCACTTGCAACAAAATAAAGTTAGCAATACTAATGTTTAAAATAATGCATAACTAATTTTCAAACTATTGCAAGTGCAATATGGAGGATATTTATATTAATGTTATATAGTGTATTGAATTAGTAATTAAATTTGCTTTCAAATAAGGTGTCACACTTTATAATACGTAGTTTTTTTATCCAGATAGAGGGCGGTACAATTAAAAGTATCGCAATGAGCAATCATATTTATAAATTCCCCATAAAATTACCTTTTTAATGATGTACTATACATTGTAATACGTAATACTTTTTTTTTCGCTAGAGGGCGATAAAATTAAAGTAACGCAATATACAGAAATATTTCTAAATTCCCCATTAAATTACCTTTTCAATGATGTGTCATTAATGGTACATTATTAAAATTAAGGTGTTGCTGAAGTGCAAGGGAGGGAGTTGACACATGACAGATGTCTGTATTGTAAAAATAATTTTTAATTTGGAATAAAAATCGACCTGTCTTAGCATTTTCTTAAAATTAATTAATTAATTAATGGTGAAAAACAGGATGAAACTGTTTTGAGTGACCCACTCTGTATATTAAAAATGGCTAAATTTATCGAGTTAGTTCATAGAAGAAAATCTGCTTAAAAATGCATTTTTTACAAGAAGCGCAGCATAAGAACGATCCTCCCATCGAAAAAAAATTATTGAGCGCAGCGCCATCTATATATTGAACTATTTAAAATTAATTTATATCTAAAACTAAAGCTCTCTTAGTGCTCTGTGAACTGGCTTTTGCAAAATTAAAATATCTGTATTACTTATCAAAATATCCGGCCTTGGAGTTTTTATTGGTACACCCTGTATACAGTATTTATAAATTTATAAATATCAAAATTATTGCATTCACGTTGAATAATCCAAAACTGTCAACCAATAAAAATTTTAGAGTGCATATCTGCATAAGTCGCCATATTGTTATCATTACAACGTCTATCTACTAGCACCATACTATTTTAAATATTTGTAAGGTATATCATCTCATCTCCACCACTTTTATGGAAATAAGATGTCGAATGGCGAAAAAGAATATAATCGATCCAGTAGAACATGCGATTATTTTGGAAACTGAATCCCTAATCAACCCCTTTTTATTCGATGTTCTCTAGCCGACTCCACTGGAGAATTTGAAAATTTTATATGATGCGGTTACTTGGCAGTGTTCAAACAAGGTGTTATAAATTTTAAGTCGGGACAGGTGGGCCGTGGATCTTACATAATAATGGATTATTTAATGCAGATAATTTTTTGTGCTTGGTTTATAAATGAATCACAAGATGGAGAATGAGTCGATCCACGAAGGCACGTGTTTCTATCTACCCTTTTAGCTGTGACTTTTTGATGAAGTAGGGCTTGGGTTAATGCAACGACGGGTTAATGTAATATTTTTGATTTAGCGAGAAATTCTGCTTTGCGATAAAACATTTGGTAAAATATCGCCTTCCTACCAAGAACCCGTGAGTCAATTAACATGTAAAAACCTTCTCTATACAGAAAATTTTGTAGGATCTAAGATAAAACAATAATTCTGAGATTAATTTTTCACAAAAATAGGTTATACTAACAAGAAAATCAACATTTGTTTTTCATATTTTGACATTGCCAGATGGGACATTCGTATTTCAATGGTACTACTTAATGTGTTACATAGTACGTTAATCGACGCACCAAGCAAAATTAGGATGCGACGCTTAATTATATTTGGACGGGAACATGTTGAACAAAGACTTTATTACTGCATGGAAGTAAATGGGTCGCAATTTGAACATTTGATTAATTAAAACTTGTTCTTCGATTTATTTCACCGACACTCCCAACAGATGTTTTACATTAATTTTAACACAGACCAAAAAAATGTCAGCATACTTGAAAAGAGAATTGAAATACCTTTAAAATGATGTGCCACTTGACCCTTTCTGCAATTTAGTATTCTTGAAGGGTCTGCCACCCCCGTTCAGGGGGATAAAACTACATCCATGAATTAAAGATCAAAAGAAGTCCCCCTTGAAATCAAAATCGACCGGTCTCGGGGATTTCCCAAAAAACTTTTCCTACGAAAATATTTCAGGTGGATTGTTTTAATTGGGCCATTTTGGCGGATAAAAAACGTTGAACATTAGAAAAATATTTTAAAAAGTCCATAGTATTAAAAAAAAAAAAATGTTTAGCAAATCAGTACCAAATAGCTGTTTATGAGAACAAAATAAAAACTACATTTAACAAGAGAAGAAGATACAAAGATATCGGAAAACTAAAAAAAAATATGAATTATTATTTATTAACAACACTACAAAAAGAAAACCGTAAGCATATATAATTACTGAGGCCCTTCCTATGGGGCCTCAGTATTGCATTTGTGCAGACGAAAAAATTTTCTGACCAACATTTTTTAAAACTTTTTTTCATGTTTCTGATCATTCTGAATCCGGAAATAAAAAAAAAAAATTTCGTCTGAACGTCTGTGTGTATGTATGCCAGCACGATAACTCTAGAACGAAAGTTCTGATTGACTTGCGGTTTTGATTTTCTTGAATAATTACTTCTAACTTAGAACCCTATTAATTTTCAGAATTTTCGGTTCATCCTAACTACTTTAATAACAATTTTCTTAAAATCCGCCTATGCATTCCTTATGTAACAATTTTAGGAATTCCAATTATTTCTAAAGTCAAAACTCCTAACATTCTTCACATTCCATAAATTGCAAACATTCTCTAACGACCTGTCAAACAACAGCTGTTGATAGTAAAGGTGAAATTTCTAAGGCGGGTTGCGACGTTCATACTTGCAACCATATAGCCATTTTGGAGGCTATTTTCATTCGAAATTACTCGCCAAGCCTGCCAATTTATTAAAAATATATAAACAGTTTATTAAAAATGACTTTTTATGGTGGTGCTATTAAGCGTACTACTATTTCGCCCCTAGCCACAAAAACACCTTTATCAAATTTACTGGTTCTCTGTCGCAACCCCATAGAATAATTAACCGGCCATTTTATTTGGCAAAAATCAAAATAATGCTTGGCTGTGCCTGTCAAGTATCAAGATGTCAACTGTGATATGTGATATGTGAATGGCTCTTAAATGTCAAATTATTTAAAAATGTATACTTTTTTTGATATTTATTGCAAATAATAAATATCTCAATTCAGGCTTTCCATAAATAAAGGTACAGCAAGACAGATAATATAATGTTCTTAAACAAAGCACTTTTTTATTATATAAAAGAGAGGTAGGATATAATGCCCATTTCAAATTTGGATCACAACGATTAATAATTTAAACATAGTAAGGGGTATTAATACAACATCAAGTAATTTTTTAAAATAAAGTACATGATATCAAAATAAATAATCTATAATAAATGCGGATAAAACGAGGGGTAAAATAACAATAAATTAAGCGAAATACTTAAAAAGGGCAGGTTTAAAGAGTATTATCACAAGAAAGTATATCCATTCTGTTTATTTATCAAGTATTGTTTGAGGTTACTTTTGAATAAATTTATTGTTTTTTTTTTAATTTCTGTAGGTAGTCTATTAAATTTTTTAAACCTTTAATAAAAATTGTATTTTGGCTTGCCGTATATGAAAGTCAGATTGGTTTCTTGTATTATAGTTGTGATATTGCAAATTATATTGAATTTTTTCTAATAAATCTGATGCGATGATACTATATTTTTATTTTATAAATAAATATCAGTCATGTATTGAACATAATTCTGAACTGAACGCCAATTTATTTCTTTTAACATAGTTGCAATACTTATCCTTCTGTCCTTTATTAATAGAATATAAATAGGCGAAGTAAGAAGCCCAAATATTTTACATGAGTAGGCTTAAGAGGTAAAGGGGCCAATTATTATTGGATAAATTGCTCGAACAAGTTTTTAAACCCTAATCAAAAGGCGATATAGAATGGTTTTAAAAATCAAGGCTTATGAAAATCCATCACATGGTTTAACCTAAGTAATGCCAATGCTTCACAAACCAAAAACTTCAACGTGCTAAGTTAAAACATTTCTCGTTTTTGTTACGCTACGAGTTTAGCCTTGTGGGCTTCAGTCTCGATAAGGTGGGAACCACCATTTTAGCGTCTCTCGAATTTAAATTTATTCCTACTTACTAAAGTAGAATTAATTTGTATATGTGCTTATAATTAAACATGTTTGATTCTAGTTGTTTTTGACTACATTGCAATCATACTTTTCAATAGGTACGTACTTTAGATTTTTATTTATTTTAGTGTTAAATTTTTTTTGATTTTTGTTACACAAGTATACTATGTTTAACGTAAGTATGTGTTCACCTATAGGCATTCTTGAATTGTGTGTTAATAGGCAATACGTTAAAATTGTGAAGTATATGGTACTATGGCGACATATTTTGACCCACTGGGGTCTAAAAGGTTAAGCATTTATTAGAGCTTAAGATCCTCGAAAAGGAAACTAATTTATACAACATGTTATCATTGCTTTTCCACTTTTTTAGTAAACACTAGAATTGGTAAATTATGTATTAGAAGTATTTTTTTACTTACCTCTTATAATATAGTTTGATGTTGAGGAGTGCTGAAGTTCTAGATCTTGAGAGTAACCAAAAGCAACCAGTGAAAAGCCAACTATCAGGGGAAGGTAAACCATTTTGTCGTTAGCAAACCACCATCAATATCTGGAACAAACGAAATTACATTATAAAAGATATCTTACACCTTTAATGGGTTTTCCACACCGAGAAAATTTCATGAAGTTTTAATATGGAGTCAAAGTAAGCATTTTGTTCTCTTGCACCATCCTTATAACTATATAGAGTGATTCCGAAAATTCAGTTCAAAGACATACTAGCAAATAAATTAAAGTGTTAAAAAAAGTGCCTGATAAAAGTTGTATATTTTATGTACGTTCTAAACTCGAATATTATCAGAGAAGTTGGTTTTAAAATTATTTTATTAGTAAAAATAAAGGATATATTATTATATTAACTGTTAATGAAAAAAATTAAATATATATATATATATATATATATATATATATATATATATATATATATAATTATAACAATAGAAAAAATAGTTGAGGCACTCGGGGACTGCCGCGGTAAAGCTATCAATTTATGCAATTATAATTATTTATTTATTTAATTTATGCAGTATTTTTTTCTTTGATATTAATTCAAGTTACACTTTTTGAGCGTGGTGACCAATAAGAAAACATTTTTATTGAATAAATGAGAAGTTAATATTGTTTAAAATATTTTTATTATCTTACAATACTATAGTTTATTCAGGAATTTATCATTGAAACTATAGGTTTATGGTAACTGAAACAAGAAACATAAGTTTGAGACTTGATATCCTCTAAATATCTGGAAAATACCGCGTAAATGGTGGTTCCATATTTTGTTGTGGATTCTTGTGGATCATTATTCATTTTCAAATTCAATTTTTCCGAAATTCTGTCTAAAAGAGATAGATCAGTTAGCAGCCAGTCTACACGCATACGTCTAGTCGCACGCGCACAAACACCGTGCCGAAGTCTGCCGAACTGAAATGACGTTAGACGATGCACGGCTTTCAACGCCGCACCGCTGTGCCGGTCGGAGTAGGGGGTGTTAGGTTTATTTTCGTTACGGAATTTCTGTTTCGACTTTTCAATTTTTTGATTTGTCGATTTTTCGATTTTTCGATTTTTCGATTTTTCGATTTTTTGATTTTTCGATTTTTCGATTTTTCGATTTTTCGATTTTTCGATTTTTCGGTTTTTCGATTTTTCGATTTTTCGATTTTTCGATTTTTCGATTTTTCGATTTTTCGATTTTTCGATTTTTCGATTTTTCGATTTTTCGATTTTTCGATTTTTCGATTTTTCGATTTTTCGATTTTTCGATTTTTCGATTTTTCGATTTTTCGATTTTTCGATTTTTCGATTTTTCGATTTTTCGATTTTTCGATTTTTCGATTTTTCGATTTTTCGATTTTCTTTTATTGAATAATATTGTTTAACGCCGCACCGCTGTGCCGGTAGGAGTGGGGGGTGTTAGGTTTTTTTTTTTTCGTTACGGTCGTTACGGAATTTCTTGATTCGTTCGCCGCACTCAAAGCCCGCGATAAAAGCTATGCAATAGCTTAAAAATAGTGGTTTTTACCAAACTGTATTTGTCAGTACATAGAAGACACGTTTTTTTTAAAGTATAAAGTAGGTAATTTAATTTGAAATGTTATATTTAACCAATTTGCTCACATAACTTATTTGAACTGAATTTTCAAGGGTAATATCACAAGAGATTAGACATTTTTAAGAACATTTTGTTGTTTCTTTGGAAATTTACATAATTTTTAAAGCTAAATAGGCCCTGGCATATCTAAAACAATCGAACGCGGTTGCGTTACCTTTCTTCGAGCTCAGGCTATGACTCACAAAATAAAAATAAATCCTCTCACGTGCTCCCCTTCTCGGGGATGATTGGTTGAAACGTTGAAACCAACGCGAAAAGCCGTCTTGCATTTTCGTAAAACAAACGACAGAAGCTTTCTTCTCCTCGTCAACGATACGTAAAACAAACGGCGTGTATCGCTCTATGTTAAAAAGTTAATTTTTAATCTAGGGAACATGAACAAAAATTGTTATAGTTTTTGGGAGATCCCATATTATATTACCTTAAAAATTTGTATGACTATTGATGATACTAATTTTCGTTTAGCATTACCAACAAAAAACAAAATTTTACAAGAATACAAATTTCAACAATTAAAAGAAAACAAATAAAAATTTTGCAAGAAATCTCACAAAAACAAAATTCTCGATTGGTGTTGCTCTATCAATAAGCAGTGTGACCTTCCCATTAGTTACAGCCCGGCATCTGTTGGGCATGCTTAAAATGAGATTATCAATTTCCATTTGATTTGTAGTATTCCGTAGTATTCCGTAGGTCACAAAGATGTTCCCTTGTGTCAAATTGTCTTTGTTGACAAATAAGTCTTCGTCCCATTGAACCGTACAAATGTTCAACGGGATTAAGGTCTGGGGAATGCGTAGGCCATGGCAAAATATTTATATGCTCAGTTTCTAGAAATTTACGCACGAGCTGTGCTGTGCGTGTGGACGGGCATTATCGTGAATTAGCTGGAAATTCGGACCAGATTCTGCAGCATATGGAAGTATAACAGTTTTAAAAATACTGTTACGATAACTGGCAGCATTCAAAAAGCCGTCTAATAAAACGACCATTATTGTTCCACCCTAGTACAGTCTGGTTGATTACAGCAATATGTGGAATATGGTGTGTGCAATATAACTCATTTGCTAACTGACCTGCTGTAACAGTTAGATATAGTAGTGCATGATGATACAAAAAAATTACAGAACTATGATACTTAGCCGACGAAATCATCTAATACCTTAAATTCGTAAAAGCCACGCCTTCCACCACAATACGTCATCCCGACATATGAAATCAATCTGCGTAATACCATACCTTCTTTCTATAGTATCATGCTCGTAGTGCCTGTAATCGAAAAAAACGATCATGTATAGGACAGAGCTGGGACGAATCCTCAAAAAATTGATTCGAATCACGAATCCAAATCATGAGATGTAATTTGAATCACGGATCCTATGGCCGAATCCTTTTTGCAATATAAAAGGATTCGAATCAGGTGATTCGAATCCATTTTTTCGGACCACGAATACGAATCACTGTCAGTGTCATATGTCTATGACTTGCATACAAATGGTTGATACAAGAAAATTTTGGAAAAAATAAACTTTTTTTTTATAAATATGAACCATAAATAGATTAGAATCTACAAAATATATATTTTATTTTAATGCAAAAAACAAAATAATAAACAAACAATGACTGCACCAGTCGAAGAAAGGCAAGTGTTAAATTTTAGGATTTTTTTATGTTGCATATGCATTGCTAATTTGTAATGTCAAAGAAGGCAGTAGAGCACCTAGGTAATTTTGAGTTGAAACTTATGCCATATTTTTAGACTATTTTAAAGCTATTTTTATGCTGCTCGTTTTTTGCAAAAACCAAGATACTCTGCTTGCTTCGAACGAAGTCAGCAGGGCACCTCAGTTTTTTAATTTTTTTTTTCAAAAACAACGACACAATATTTTAAGGATCTTATAATATTATTTGTTATTTGCTAGCTTCAGCACCTCTGTTCCAACAAAGCACCCTGTATTTTTTAAAAAATACTATTTTTTCGAAAAATTTTATATTTTAAAAGTCTCAAAATAGCTTAAACACGTGTCATAAGTAGATGTTTCCAGAAAAATCAAAATAAACCGAGGTGCTCTGCTAACTTTTTTCCAACAAAGCACCCTGTATTATTTAAAAATAGCAATTTTTAGTAAAGTTTTAAAATATTTCAAGAGCCTAAAAATGCGATGTGGTTGTTTTTAGAAAAAAGCCCGGACTCAAATGGGGGCCCGGCAACTGGATTTTTTTTGTTTTGTATGAGAAATTCGATACAAGACTAGAGGGAGCAGGGGAGGAAAAGTTTTTGCTTGAGGAGCTTTTTTTTTTAGAAAATTCAATTTAAGTAGAAGAGGAAAAGTTTTTGTTTGAAGAGTTTTTTTGTCACGGGGCCCGATCTAGAGAATTGTCCTGAGGCCCAGCCTGGCTCTGAGCAGAGAACCTTGATTTTTGCAAAAAAGACTGAGCATAAAACTTTTGAATAAGGTATAAAAATAGCCTAAAAGTATAGCATAGGTTTCAACATTTCAACTCAGATTTAGATAATGGAAATTTTCTTGCTTTGGTACACTTACTTTCTCAATATGATCCGATTTTGAAGCCAAAAGAAACAGTTAAATATCTATCGCCAGAAAGTCAAAACGAAATAATTTTAATACTAATACTAATTTCAAAAATACTATATTATATTATGTTTAGTTTATAAAAGGCCAAAACGATTTAATAGAGACTATTGTTATCCAAGAAAGTTTTTTGGGATTTATTGAAGTTGAGTCACAGTCTGCTGAAGAAATAACACATGTGATCTTAAACACTTAAAATTGATTAGGATTAGATATAAATAAGAGTAAGTAAAGGGGACAGGGATATGATGGGGCCAATGTAATGAGTGGTATATACTCAGGAGTTCAAAAAAGAAGAATAAATGACATTTATATGCATTGTGTGGCTCATAATTTAAACTTAGTAATACATGACGCAACTAAAGTCATAAAAGAACTTGCACTGTTTTATACTCAGTTAGAACAAGTATATACCATTTTAGTAACTTTATACATTTTGTTCATTTATTTTTTAATACAGTTTATTTATACTTAATAGATTTAAGATAATTAGTAAAATAAATTTTATTGTTTAATTTAGCTAACAAACATGTAGCCTACTAGGATTGACATCCAATCCAACTCTTCGTTATTTAAAGGACAGTTTTTATCTAAAATTACAACAAAAAAATACTAAAGCGAATCCCCACAAAAAAGTTTTAGGTTTTAATTACTACGCAAAATTCTTATCTATTAAGGCCTATGTTGAAAGTTGCGGGGGGCCTAAATTTGTAGTTACGCCACTGGTTTCAACTCAAAATTCTCTAGGTACTCTGCTGCCTTCTTTGACATTAATTTTTAGATTGTTACGTTTATCTTCTAAATATTAACAATCGGTCTACAGTCTGTTTCAGTTTACAATTC